TATATAATATGTATTTACACTATATTCCATATAATATGTATATTCACTATTAATTTACAAAAAAACATTGAGTAACTTTACACATAATTGAAATAAAAAAATCTTTTAAATAGTTATTTTTATTGTTAATGTATTAAGTTATAGTAAATTACTAATATTTTATTTTTATTTTTAATGTAAGTTCAGATTTCAGCGAAAATATTAAAAAACCGGATTCTATATAAACGTGTCATCGCCGTAACACGTTTCCGTTGCCTTGTACTTAAAATATTGTAAGCCTAATTAAGACAGGATCAAAATAATCACCTTTGTTTATTTGTCTAAATGTATTTGGAACGAAAATTATTAAAATCAACTCTATCATATACAATTTAATTTAAGACTACCTTCATACATTAAATACGAGTATGTAGCCCCATTGTGGTCGCAGGTAAACAGCCATTTCAAAAGCGGGATAAGTCACTCATTGTAAAACGAATTACGCATTTAGAGAATTACGTGAATAAAGTCTTTGTTGAAAATACTGCTAGAGTTTTCGTTGAATGACTTAAACGTTAGATTTCATTAAAAATAATGGTTGGATAGCCGTTTCAGATTTTTTAACGAACTTATGCCCGAAGCTTGGAACAATACAACAAAAACTTAAATAAAATACTTTTTCTGAATTCCAGTAAGAAATAATGCCATAAAAATTTCACGGTGGTAGGGCCACGCAGCAGCCTCGGCTGTTGCACGAATAGGCAGGCTCGTCCGGGTAAGTACCACGACCTCACAAAAGACCGGCGTAAAGTGAGAGTATAATACTTTCGCGTTTCACTCACCAGAAGTGAGGTGTCCGGAGCCCAGTTGTGAACCCTAGGGTGTAACAGATGTCCATGGGCGGCGGTATTCACTTAACGTCAGGTGAACCGTCTGCTCGTTTGGCAACTTCTCACATAATAAAAAATAAAATAAATAAACAATATTAAATCCTAAATAGGCTCCTGATCAGTAACTTTGCAAAGTGGTTTACAATAAAATAAATAATTGTTATTATTTTTTTTTCTTTCATTTCTCTGTAGGTATGCATACATCTAGACGCCTTATTATTACTACTATCAGCACTTAATGTGTTTAGACGTCATATTCTTAGACGATAAGACTTAGATTAAATAATAAACAATCAGTTCTCATGGATTGTATGGGAACGGATATAATTCAATTCGCCTTTTGACTAGCATCGCGAGAGCACGTATTTATTCACTTAGCTCTTAAGAATGAGTTTTAATTATTGTTTTTAAAAAGCCCTTTCAACGTTACCAAAACTTATCTATCTCGTTAGGTTGCAACGCGCCAAAGCATAATATGTTGCGCATGACATTTGTTTAATTTATCAAATGATAATAAATTTAGAGTTCCTCCTATGATATTATAGTAATATGCAAGTACTTTATCAAGACGACCGTGAAATGTGCATGACGATACTTCAGCGGCCCACTTATTTACATTATTTTACAACCTGATAAATGACTATCTCGCCATTGTGGCCCTGCACAATGCATGAGTAAGTAGACATTTTTGTAAACGGCGTGTCCTGATTATCCCATCATTATATTTACAGAAACAATATTACTTACCAACTCGGTGCTGACGAAATTTTGTAATAAATCCTTTATATACAATTTCTTTTTCAGCAAATACCTCGTGAAAAATAAATAAAATAATATATTTATAAAGATGTGTAAAGTACCGAAGAGAGAATGTGCAATGGTTTAAGTGTCCTGATGTACCTAATCTATGCATATAATTAGCTTTACCTGTATGTGACTTTACTTGTGATTTTAAACGAAAACTTTGATACGATTTAAGCGACTACTATTTATTATAGAGGTGGATAGTAGCTAACTATCAATCGGCTACTAGTAAGCACCTCGCGTTTAGGCTCTTCGTTTTGACAATTCCAATAAATTTGGCTTGGTAACGAAGGTCTGGGAATGGAGCCAGGAGGTGAATAGGGGAACTCTTCAATGGCTGCTAGGAAGCGTCTCGAATTTAAATATGTTTGGTTGATCTCAGTGATATGGAGCTTCAAATATCACACACAATCTATGGTTAGAACCATGCAGAGGGCTGAATGATCTTGTTGTAATTTCGACTGTTTGAATTGTCTGCTACACGTAGGAACGAATATGAAGGTAATGAAAAACTAAAACGACTTGGAACAGAAAAATAATTCTTGATGACACCGAGATTTCTTGGTGCATTATTTGTTTTCAAATTATGTGATTAAAAATATTTTTTTTAGTGTTTTTTTGTTTACGTGCAATTTGTAAAATTTAAGACCGATATTAAAAAAAGAAATAGATTTTATTCTCATATAGGTATCCTTTAGAATCTCTAAGATATTTCAGCCATAGTAAACTTTATTAGATGAGTTCCCTCTAAATTCTAATTGCCAAAGTTATAAAATTTATGCATATAGTTTAAAGCTTTCAAGTTTCTTACTGATACATGGCAATTCTGAATAATAACGTGTACATGTTAAGATTACAAAATAGCTAAATATCTAATATAGTTTTTGCAATTGACTTGAAATTAGATTTTTCCATGATTTCTTTGGTTATCATTTCTTCTAGGCTGTGTTGGGTAAACATTTAAGGATTACAGAAAAAGAAGTTAGTGTATTAATTACCCATAGGCATAATGATTTAATCGTAAGTAAAAAAAAATAAGTTAGTATTTGCTATGCATAGTAAAACAGTTTGAGACAAATCCTTCAATTATAAAGAACAAACAGTAATATCTAATCTTATCCTTAAAAAGAGCAATTCTTGTATATATATATAAATAATGAAAACGATCTGGTATAGAAAAAAAGGATAAGGATAAAAAAATAAGTGTATAAATACTATATATAGGGCCGCCCGATTACCGAACGAACTATTATAACATTTTTTTTGCGGCGAAATTTACTTTCACATATTCGAATGATATTTTTCATTCCCTAAAAACGGGGATAAAAGGACATTTTCTAGAAATTAAACATAGCTAAATCGATTTTTCGCCCCCAAATCTACGCACATACTAAATTTCATGAAAATCGCTGGAGCCGTTACCGAGATATATATATATAATCGGATTATATATATATATATATATATATATATATATATATATATATATATATATATATATATATATATAATCGGATTATATATATATATCTCGGAAACGCATATATAAGCTAGGTTTAATTTCGTAACCTCCAGGTACTAATAACAATAAGATAATGTAATCACATTAACAGTAGAAAACAACAACTCCAGCAATGTAATTCAATCGTTAATTTTTATTTTTCAATTATGAAAAAAATGCTATGGCTTATTTTTGTTGTTTCATCTAGATGTTTTTTATTTACTTTTATAATAGTACTTTGTCTTACCTATGAAATTGTTTTTCTTCAGTACTGGTCATTTCAAAAAATAAAAATTTGATTGGCTGCGAATTCTAAATTCAAATTAATTTGGTTTCAAACATATGATTTTTTTTACAGTCTCTTTTGTTTAATAATAAGCTTTGTATTATCATTAGATTTGTACATTTATCGTCATAATGGGATACTTTAAAAATTCATGTAATTATGGTTCTATCGTGGCACCAACTATACAAACGAACGTCCAACCCGTAATTGATTTATCTGGGTTCTTTCTGTAAATTTTGAGTTGAAAAATGAACCTCGTGTTCAGGACACTGGTCAGCAATGATGAATTAAAGGCGATAGTGGAATCTAATGATACTGAATCTACAATGGAGCTACCAGCAGTTTTTGATGTTAGCATCACAATAATATGGTCCATTTGCAACAAATATTTATGAAAATGCGGATTTTCAACAGCTTGATAATACTATTTACAAAAGCAAATAGTGTTTCATTTAACAACGATTATGTAAATTACTTGTATTTTTTATTTTCGTACAAATAAAGATGAATATTTCTTATCTATGAATCTATAAACCATACACCGGGTTTTGATGGAAATTTGTTGAGTTTTATTGCACAGGCCCACGAAGGTGACAGGATCATAAAGTTATTTTGTTTTTGTTGGAGACATTGCGGTCGAAGCGAGCATGAAATACTTAAACTAATATGGATTGTGATATTAGTAAGCATTTTGTAATTCCAAATAATAGAGAATGTATGTAAAATTCATTTCAGTAATTCTACTAAATTGCTGTCCGATAAAATAACGTAGCCCTAAAGCTTGAATGAATAACGTCTTTTATCAATTTTGCCTGATAAAAGCTATCATCCACCTGAGAGCTATTTTACTTTCCACGCCCAAAATATCGTCACATTTCATACTGATTTGGCTTGGAAGGATGTGTAAACAACAAATTCTGACACACAGCAAAAGTTCTGACTAGTATTAAAACTCTATTTTCGTCTTGACAATAATATTTATATACAAAAAAGCTACATCTAAGCGTGGCAGGGTTCAACTAGTCAGTTTTAAATATACCCGAATACAGATAAATTTCACTTGTAAAGTGTTACTCTTGTCATCATTAAAACTTTTTGAAACATTCTTTCTCTGTATTTTGTTTTGTATTATGTGTGAATGGCAATAAAATTCACTAAACATTGTAAAATAAAATGACTTGTCAACTTGTCAATATTCATTGAGAATGGAAATTTAATTAATTGAAAGCACACAATAATTACACTTCAAGAAGATTAAACTCTCAGTTTTTTCCAATCGATCATCACAATAATTAATTTTTATAAGTGTATTTCGGTGTTTATACAGTATGTTGATGTTACAACGCCTTCGCCCCTTTTTTAATGTACGCTTTTGTCCTATTAAACTATACGCAGATATAATTTGTGTTAACAATGAATTATTTTATTACATCCCTTTTATTTTTAGGTAAAATGTTTTGTTAGAAACGTTTCTACTTCGAAGTCACTTCACAGTGAAGAACTATTTGTTCACAGAGATAGCTCGACTAATCATCCAAATATGCCCTTTGAATTTAGTGAAGCCAATATGACTGTAAGGGTACTCTTATCTATTTAGAGATTCTGTTATAAAATTTCATAATAATCTAATTAACCATATTCGGACTTTTCGTTTCAACATATTCAGTTGTATTAACAATTTAATATAATATTAATGTATATGTATAATTTAAGGAAATTATATCGTATAAGTAAACTATGTGACGCAGAAATCTGTAAACCGTATGTTCTAAAGTTGCTTTATGGTTATGACTCGAACTGTGTTTAGTTCATGGCGTAATCTAAACTATCCTACAGATTTCGATCTAAATCCAACGACTCGGCTAAAACTGTCATCGTGGTTGATAGCTCATTTATATTTTAGCGCTTGAGGGCAGTGATCCAGAACTACCCTAAGGGAGCGCAGAGATCGGCGCTCGGCGCCGCCCTGGACATTGTTCAACGGCAAATCGGTTGGATCCCAATATCAGCGATGCATAAAGTGGCCAAAATACTGTCAATCCCCAGAATGAGGGTTTATGAATATGCCACTTTCTACACAATGTGTAAGAGGTAGTACATATTTTTTTTTACAAATATCAACCTTGGGGCATGATTTACGTGTAAATATTTAAGATGGAAACGAATGTAAAACAATATTGAAAATTATTTGTACGGAAGTTTCGCAGTAAAATTCGGTGCACTGAGGTTAACAGTTCTTCATTTGCAACTAATGACAAATACAATTAAATAACTCAGGATAGTTACGTGGACACAGTAAAGGTTAGCAGAGCGCGCGTACGGAAAAAGAAGAAGCACGTATGACAGACAGTACCCCTATTTATTTCAAATTCAAAAAGTAACCTTCGCGCGCCCGCTCTCAGTTGCCATATAAAAGGGAAATAACAATACAAATTAAACTATAAACAAAAAATATAAGAATAATAAATTTATATAAAATATAACATAAAATCAAACTGTATAAAATAAATTGTAACACGTCGCCTACGTGCTCTACATATATAATTATATACATGTAATAGTGACCCAAAATTAACGCAAGGTTTGACTTTGCCACCATTTTTGCAGTAAAATGTTGGCAACTTTAAAAAAAGAACAATTTTACAGCTGAGGGTTTTAATAAAATAAAAGTAAAGTAACAGCCAGTATACATGTCCCACTGCAGGGCAAAGGCCTACTTTGTACAGAGGATATCAAGGCATAGTCCACCACGTGACCCCGCTGCTGGTGAGCGGACTTCACATATTTTCGAAATATTTTTTTTATATTATTATTTCGAAAAAGTGCACCTGCATATTCTCACGATGTTTTACGTGAGTGAAGGTAGACCCGAGTTACAATAAATAACAGCTGGCAGGTAATTGCGGAAAATCGTGACAACTAGAGGACAACTAATCAACACCTCACATCACGCCATCGATACCTAGGGTGACCAACTTTTTGTTACGAAACCGATAAGAGATTAGCTTTACACAGCTAGAATTAAAAAAAAAACTTAATTTGCAGGCGATACAGAGGCAAATTTAATATTAAAGTCTGTGTTACAACACCCTGCATGATTCGCGGATCCGATTTAATATTGCAAGCAGCAGAAGATGCGACAGGGTGTGCTGAAGGAGGCCTGTCAAAGGATAAACTTTTCGGAGTAGATATCGTCCAATGCCAAGGAGCATGTGCGAATGCTCCAGTAATGGTCGTCAACGACGATTACTTTGTTAGTTAAAAAATTTTACAATTCTTTTAAATATTTCAAAATGCGCCTGTGCTTTTTTCAACTTCCATTTGGCATTCTTTATTTGTATTCAATTTAATTTAATTACCTTGTAGGTATTTTACCCCATACTAAAATACAGTATTTTTTTACTAGTTTAGCCACTTGAGCAATGTGTGATAAAGAGCAAAGATCAAAATCGAAACACTTGAAAGTTATGTTAATTTACAAATTAATCTGTCTTTAAAATACCTAAATAAATTTATAATTATATAATTACATAACTACCTCAATGTAATGTTTATATTAATATGTTCTTTTTTCAGGAAGATCTCACCGTATGCGACGTCTATAATATAGTAGAAACCTTAAAGTGCGGAGGAATACCGCCAGCTGGACCTCAGTTAGTATTCCATAAAATTCACGCTAGCGTTTCATATTTGTGAGTGGCATTCGTTGCTTACCCATCCGTGGTAATATTTGAAAACTAGATCACACAAATTACATCGATCATCAAGGCTTTACTTAACGCCTATGGCGCTTATATATTTAACTGAGAAAACTGCCGAATATGATTTTTAAAAATAATGAAATTTTGCCTTATAATACATGACATTATTAAGTTTTTCACTCCCTTTTTATAACAGGAGTGGCAGGTACGCAGCAGAGCCAGCTTGTGGACAGACCACTCTATGCGAACCCCCACAAGGTCCTGGGTTCGGCGTACAAGGTGCATTGTTAAAGTGATCGCTGAATTTTAATTTTTTTCGTGGTGATTAGAATTTTTTTACGTTAGAATTCGAAAAACACTTTTCAGGTTAACATTAATTTTAAAAACTGTTTTCAAGTCTCTTAGTATGGTACTATAATTTCATTAAATACTTAATATTTTAACATATTTCTTTAATTTTTGTCTTTCAGTCTACAGCCATACAAGAACAGAGCAAATCGGAACAGATTTTATGTAAGCAGTCCTAACTAGTCTATTGACAAAAATCCTAATTTCAGAAATTCACGAACTTCTAATATGTTTATTAATATAAATGAAGATGATAAATTCTAAACACCTTCGTTAAAATTCCATGATTACCTATCATTCACATTAACTTCTTAAATCCACTAAATAAATAAACGACTGCAATAACGTCCAATCTGTATAATTATTTACCAACTATTTTCGGACTTTCGGGAGGTCCTTAATAAGGGTGCTGGGATGAATTTGCAGTCGTGCCTCGTTTTTTCATTGTAATTGTTTCAATCCAATCAAATCATGTGGTATTACTTATTTATTACCAAAGGGGAAAGCTTATCATAGACTCCTTATTTTTACGTAATTACTGTAACTGTACTTCTCCGTTGTTACGCTCTTGGCATAGCGGTGTTCACTGTAGATGTGACTTGACATGACGTCTCCATTCCTTCTTAACAGTTGCTTTCCTGGTACACTCCGGTATGGGGACGTCCATCGCAGCCCTCAGTTCGTCTTTCCGTCTACTAGACTCTCTGCCCCGCGCTGTGGTATAACTCTCCTCCTTCTGGAACCACTAGTGATGAATCTGAAAAATTCTGTAAATGAGTTTTAATTTTGATATCCTTACTTCCTTACTAATTCCTTACTAAAATTATAAACGCGAAAGTTTGTATGTATGGATGGATGTTTATTACTCTTTCACACAAAAAACTACTGAATGATTTGAATCAAACTTTTCAGTAATATAGCTAATACATCAGAATAACATAATATAGGCTGTAATTAATAAAGATATTACGTGAATTGTCCAAAATATAATAATAAGTGTCAAGTAAGTAGCTACAATATATATAAATCTTCTGTACGTGTGTACGCCTCACTCCGATCACCGACCAGTTCTCCTCCGGCTAGGGCCTTCAGCAACAGCCGCTCCCCTAACCAAAACTGTCATCAGCTGGCATAAAATCAAATCTAAATTTAACGAACCTAATCCTCCACAACTAGAGTCAATCCATAGAGAATTGAATACCAAACAGGACACGGAAACCGCAATTCGAGCCCTCACAAGCCACGTCAACACCGTCGTCGAGCAATGCTCGAGACTGGTCCCGGCGATGGAAGACCATCGCTGGGCCCTGCCAGACGATGTGCGAGACTTGCTGAGACGCAAGAATGCGGCCACTCGAGCCTATGATAGATATCCCACCGACTCGAATCGTAGACTGCTACGTAAATTGCAGTGTGAGGTCAAAACACGCATAGCAGACTCACGAAACGAACGATGGGACTCCACCCTAACTTCAGTAAAACCATCCCACGTAGCCTTCTGGAAACTTCCCAAATCCCTCAAGGGTAACGGCATAACAACCATGCCGCCACTAGTCCGTCCGATAGGTACGCCAGCAATGCTGGACGAAGAGAAGGCCGAATGCCTGGCTGACAGCCTAGAGTCTCAATGCTCCCCCAGTCTGCTTGCGATCGACCCCGAACACCTCCGCAAGGTGAACGAAGAGGTAGAAAGGAAAGCCTTAGAGCCACTTCGCGATCCCGTTCCCCCAGTCACGTGCTCCGAAATAATAGACACCATTAATAAACTACGCCCGCGTAAAGCACCAGGCTCAGATGGTATCACCAATAAGGTGACCAAGCTCCTCCCTACTAGCATCCTTCAGATACTAGTATTAATTTACAACGCGGCCTTAACCGAAGGCTTCTTCCCATCCAAGTGGAAGGAAGACGATGTCATAGGGTTCCTCAAACCCTCTAAACCCGCCACTCTCCCAACCTCATATCGTCCAATAAGTCTTCTCAAAACATTTGGGAAGATCTTTGAAAGACTAATATTAGCCCGCTTAAGATCCCTTATGGACACCAAAGGGCTCCCCATCCCAGAGCAGTTTGGATTTAGAGCCAAACACTCATGATACCCATCAAGTGCACCGCATCACGGAGCACATTTTAACTAAACGTCAACGTGGACTCAACACCGGTGCACTCTTCCTGGACGTGGCAAAAGCGTTCGACAACGTCTGGCACAACGGGCTCGTATACAAGCTATACGGGTACGGAGTATCCGACCGTCTCGTATGCATAATACGAGACTTCCTAAGTAATCGAACCTTTCGCTATCGCGTCGGGGGCGTGTGTTCGACTACGCATCCCGTTCGAGCCGGGGTGCCCCAAGGGTCGGTGTTGGGCCCAGTCTTCTTCACTCTCTACACCAATGACATGCCGCTTGTCAAAGATGTAGAACTTGCTCTTTTTGCCGACGACACCTGTATCTATACCACAGGCAGAACACCCGAATTGATCCATCGACGCCTCCAAGCTGCGGCCATCACCATAGGTGACTGGTTTCGGCAATTGAGGATCGAAATCAATCCTGCCAAAAGCGCGGCAGTCCTTTTCGCGCACAAAAAGAACATACCCATTCCACCCCCCGTTAAACTCTTGGACAGCCCAGTACCATGGGTTAATAAAGTCAAATATCTTGGCGTCGTCCTCGACTCCCAGCTTAAATTCACCCAGCACGTGACCCAGGTCAGGAACCGGGCGGCCTTCGTACTCGGTCGCCTCTACCCGTTCCTCAATAAAACGTCAAAAATGTCCCTTCGGAACAAGGTGACCTTATATAAGGCAGTAGTTCACCCTATCATGACGTACGCGAGCCCCGTCTTCGCTCACATTGCTCCGAAGCAAATACACCGGCTTCAGGTGGTTCAAAATCGATTCTTGCGCAGAGCCACGGGAGCACCCTGGTTCATGCGCAATATCGACCTACATGTCGATCTAGAATTGCCCACCATCGCGCAATTCCTGAAGTCGGCGTCGCGCCGATATTTCGATTCCGCCGCCGCGCATCCCAACCCACTTATCGTAGGTGCCGTCACCTACAGGCCCTTTCCGCTAAATATTTTCCGCCGCGATTACCGAAGACCGCGTCACGTTCTCGACTTCCCTGACGATGAGACGACTATCGCCATCGAAAGGATCAAAAAACTCAAGAAACACACCAACACACACCGCACTCGCCGGCGAGAGCGGCAAACATATACTAGGTTCCGCCACGTACCTGGCAGGTTTTCCCCTATTAATGATAGAAGCGTTGCTGGAGTTTCTTCCGCCACTTCTTCTCCCAGCGCCAACGCTCTCCGAAGTGGTAGTAATGTTAGCACTAGTAATTCCCCCAGTCAGATAATAGCTACCGATCGAGCCGAGGTCCGGCCCTCTCGGGCACCCTCGAATCGGAATGCTAAACGCGTGCTGAGTGACAGCCCAAGCAGAGGTCCCCTCTCGGGGACCCTTGAGCCTGATCACTCCATGGAGCGCCCTCCAAAGCGCCCTAAGAGCTTGGCGGCCTCCCAAACCGGTAATAATAATAGCGTGACGGCCCGAGCCGAGGCTCCCCCGGGAGCCCTCGAGCTTAGTCACCATAACGCGTAATAATAGTACGCCGAGGTTCAGGCTAGGCGCCTCGTGCGCCAGGCCACCTCAAGTCCGTCGGATCTGTAAAGGCCCTTACGCCTTATCTGTACGCCGCTGAACTCCTCATAAACAGCTGAACCGATTTTAATGAATTTTTGTGTGTTCTGTGGTTTAGATTCATATTTTTTTAAGTTATCGGATTTAAGTCGGGTGTACAGGACGTCTGCCCGGTCCGCTAGTATTTTATATTATATTAGCTGCTGCCCGCGACGACGTCTCCGTAGAATAGGCTGAAGCCGCAACATTCAGAGAGAAAGACAGATATACATAAAATATGTATATAAATTATAGCTTATGTGTTATTCTGATGTTTAAGCTATATTATTGTTAAGTTTTATTAAAATCCATTTAGTAGTATTTGCGTGAAAGAGTAACAAAAATCCATCCATACATACAAACTTACTCAAGGTGCAAATTCGAATGCTAACTGCAGCGAAAAAGTTTTGAACAATTTTATCACAATTTTACACAATTTCAAATAAAGTCAATCGTGAAACAAACTTTAATGTTAACCAAGTGAACTGCAGGTGGTCTCCGGTGAAAGGGGAAACTTTTTATAATCAACTGTGTAACAAAATGGCAATAGAGGAGAAAAGCATTGAAATAGGGATTTCGATACAAAAGTGTATCTTCTATTTCTTTCACGTGCGTACGTGATGTAAAATTATTTCCCAATGTTTTTCAAGTTAATTTAAGACACATGCTGTCTTAAATTTTTAAAAAGATTTGCGACGAATATTTTTCTTCAGCATGATCTTGAAATCTTCACTAATTCTTTATTTCTTTTGTGTTTTGGATTATAAGGGACTTTCATTACATGTAAAAACCAACCTAACGAACCCTCCAACCCAAGGAAACGAATAAATTGATATTGTGATTTAATTTAATTTTAACATCCCTAATATTATTGTTCTAGAATAAAATTTGAAAAGATAACGAGTATGTAATATTAAGCCTTGATTTATTATTTCTTATAAAGGAAATAGTAAATGAAGTAATAAAAACTGGATAAACATCTTATATATGTTGCCTGTAAACATTTTTGGTAATAATTTGACCCCTTGTCATAAGAGCACACCCTCGTCACTTTAATGCGTCGCTTTTTCGCTTTACGGATACTCGAACACTTTTAGCAAAATTTAACAATATTAAATAAGTTGTTCTTTAAGTACGCGCGATAATTTTTATTAAAAGATAAATATAGCTGTAATTGAGCTTGATCAATGATTTACTAAATAAGGATTATTTATTGAAGTAAACACTTTAAAATTACGAAAAACAGACGTTT